CGAATTTTGTTGGAAGTTTGGTTGGTGCGGTACGAGATGGATGTACAATAGATCTTGTGAACACTTGCTTTGAATCTTGCTATACAGAAATACTTGTCCAACTATTTCTGCAAGTAGAATGTAAATTGTTTCCTGCATTCCCTCCCACAACATTGAGCTTCTTGAATTAACATTTTACCTGCTTTGGGAAATTGAATTTCTCAGAGTTTATTTTTACAACACTTGGATTTTCTGGCCTGTGCATGTTGTTTGAACATTTTTATATCTCATTTACCAAAGTTTCAAATTGGAGTGGTTGGAGTGGTTTTCAAATTCAAAATGGGATGGATCATATCGAGTGAGAAATCAGCGACGGTTTGTCTATGTTTATTTTATTGAACAACTGTGATTATAAGCTCATGTGTTCATTAGCAACAGAGTTGCACGTGAAGGTGAATATTTCGATTCAAGATTACAATTTGTGAGGTTTATGAATGAAGATGCAAGTGCTGTAAGATTAATAACATGAATCAGAGAAATTTTATTAATGCAAAGTCAACTCACAAAATAACTTCGTATAAAATATTGATAGGTTCTTGATATCGAACTGAAATCAAATGTTTTAGTCTGTTTTTTTTNTTTTTTTTCAGTTTTTCACAGCGGTAGGTTTTGTTACGGGTAGTCAACCAGTAATGTTAACCGACCAGAGCTCACTTGGATTCATTTGATCAAATGAAGTTTCACTATCGAAAATTCTTTGATTTTTCAACGGTTATCGAAGTTTGGAATGACGAAAGCAGATTTCGTCGGATTCCGACCGAACCAATTTTTCGTTTAGTGTCAATCACAACTGCAAGCTGAACAATGAAGCACAAGAAACCCGTGGGTTCGAACCTAGCTCGCTTGTCTGGAGCTGAGCGATTTATTGATCAAACTGAAGCTGACGTGCTTGATCAAGTATGAATAGGCTTGGAACAGATTTTCATCACGGTAAATGAAGACAACAAAACAACAAACAAACGATACATTGTTAAAATTTTACAAATTCTAAATTTTCCTCTTTCATGCTTTTAAAGGAATATTCTACGCTGATCCTGCCTCTGAAACTCGTACATTCATTTATATGAACACAAAATGTGATTAAATATGGAAGATACGTACAATATAATTTGTTGCGACATATGAATCAATTGCAAATGCTCAAATTCGTAAGGTATCATTTGAACATTAAAATTTTCATCATTTAAAAAAATCAGCAGAGCTGAATGAAACTCAAAGACAAAATACAGAGTAAAATTCAACGTGGGACTGATCGTTGAAGAGGGTTACTTCTTATACGAAATAGCGATGAAGTATACCGGCCAGTGGTATTTGATTAGCATATTGAGGCACTCTGTGATACGATTGAACAATGAAATTGTCGCGTTAATACTGTCGCGTTCTGAGACGAACTGTTACGGAATCAGGTGCAATTGTTGTTGAACCTCTTAGCTTTAAAACACTCTGAAATATTGATATAATCCTTGAGTGGTAGGAATCTAGTATATACATTCAAAGAAGGATGCTTTTATGGTCGTTTAGAAACAAATGAATTGAGCAAATAAGCGCAGTTATTGATGAGGACCTCAGTATCTGGAGCTGCGACAATGTCGTATTGTCGAAGAATGTGTATCAAAGCAAGTTTCTCTTCCATATCGGCCAATCTTTTTCCAATGCATATTCTTGGACCCGCACCAAACGGCAACCATGCTAGTGGATGACGTTGAAGATTTTCCCATCTGAAAGCATTTCCAAAATTTTGTTCACATCTATCAAACATTATAAAATATGATTCGTTGTTGACCACTGGTTTTGTTGGTAATGTTGACCACTGGTTTTGGTAATCATAGTGGTATGAGAAATCTAGAGACATGAAAGTGATAACAGCTATGTTCCAGGAACTTTCTCATTTCTTCCAGCGCTTCTATTATTCCGCGTTATGCAGTAAAACTTTTGCTTAATTTGAAGTGTTCTACGTGAAGGTTTTTGTCATCTGGAAGTGGAAAACAGGAAGTGTCAATCGTCCAGAAAATGAGTCAGAAAACATATTGAATCAACCTTTCCGGACGGAATTCTTCGGCGTCTTTACCCCAGACTTCCTTACTGTAATGTACCGAGAACACATCCGCCACAACACCGACGCCTTTATCGATCTCAATATCACCAATTGTTGTCGCTTCCATACATGTACGTGAACTGGCACTATAACGGCAATGATGAATGCAATTTTCGTTGAAACCGAATGGTATGTTAATATTGATAAAGCCGATCCAATGGATAAATGTAATAAGATACTAAATGATAATTATGGAAGAAATACAGATTACAAATAAGTACAAAAAAAATAAATACAGATTACTGATGAGAATAATAATTTTGATGGTGATAGTAATACTGATAATTAGAATATTATTGATAGTAAAGATGGCAATGTTGTCAGTAAATTTCGGTATGTTGTTGAATGAGTTAGGATATCAACAAGGAACAGTCATCATATGGAGTCTTGCCAGTGTTTTCGCAAAAAATAATGGAAAGCGTTGTGCATATCGAACGAAATCATTGAAATTTTAGTTCCGAATTTGCGTTAAGCGATAAAAAAATTCAGTAAAATATGTGACAATTTATATGGCACTTAATACAACACTGAAAAATATTGCTGGTATATATGGCACTTAATGCAACACTGAAAAAAATACTGCACTCACACCGCAGCGAGTGGATAGAGCCGTAGAGCCTCTTTAACGACCATATCTAAGTATCTCATTTTCTGTATTTGTTCGTAGCTTATTTCCTGCAAGGAATGTTTTTGCATTGGTTTTTAAGCAATCAGTCGATTAGTCAATAGTCAATGCGATATTCCGCCTGATTACTGACCAATAAAATTGAAACATTTTAAGAAGGTGCATATTTAGTGGCATTTTTTGGGTATCATCGGAAGGTATTTCAGAATTTGCGAAGTGAAATTGACCGTTTTAGTTTGAAACTGAAACTGAACAGACATTTACATCAAGCTTTTTTGACTCAACTTCACACGCATTTCATTCTTCCAGTGTTTTAGTTCAAATTATCGTTCAAACTTCATGTATTTCACATTATACTCAAATGGGTCTGGAACAATGATCCATTTGTCGCAGAAGCATTTATTTTTGAATGACAGCTTCCGCGTTTACTCAAGCAAAATACTTAAATTTAAGTTTGGCTGATTGATTTGGGGATGATGTTGAATTCACTCACTTCATCCACACAAACTTCATCGATTTCTTGTTGAATTCGTTTTCGCACTTCTTGATTTTTTGCTATGCAAAATGAGGCATATGCCAACGAGTTTGCAGTCGTATCGAAACCAGCCAATAGAAACACGAAACACTGCATTACCACTTCATCTGCACTCAACTTCTTTTCCACCTTAATTTTATTTGAAATGACATTTTTGAACGTTGACAGTCGTTATTCACTTGAAAGTAATCCTTTCAGTATGATTCCGTTCAATACATCATCACGTCCCTCCATTTTTACACTTTCCTTCGCCCCTCTCTGCGATTTCTGCACTTCCTGACATCGTTTCATCCCACATCCAGCTAAGTTTGGCACCAACTGTACGGAATATTGGTTCCGTGATTATCAATCGAGATGCGTCTCGTAATCGATACTCATCAGTGCATCAAGCCCAGCGATGACTACCGATCGTCAGAAGCACGACCCTCTATCGGACATTCGAAAATTACGTTTTGTGATTAGAATCCACGAAGATCATTCATAGGTGATTCATCTTATTCTTGATACTTAGATTTTTCATATTACTTGTGATGAAAAATCATATTCCAACTCCGAAGACGCAGCCTTCAGCGACTCTTCCGTTGTTCTGTTTCCCCATTTTAAAAACTCTCCCGTTTATATAACGAACAAAATTCGTGGTAGATACGATGTCCTTAATAAGGGCAGAGGAAAAGAACAAATGAGACAACGCTCTCTTTCGAAATTTGAAAATTTTAGACTAATTTGTGAACTCTGGGTGCACCATGGCAATAGTGCCGATTGAACAGCATGTTTTGAACAAGTGTGATCCGAAGTGTAACGAAACCAAATGTTGCACCTTGATGTTACTTCTGTCGAACGCACCAGTTGTCAGTTCAACATCAGATTCAACATCGAGGAAAAGATCGATGAAATCGGCTGCTTCGTGATGATCCGATCCATTCAAATTCTTAAGAAAATAAATTTTTATTTGACCAGTTGACTTCATTGGATAAATCGACAGAAAAGATCAGCCTTCCAAACTGCATAAATATTCTTCGATTCGTTGCTATTCGAACGTTTGAAATCATATTGGTTGTTAATCTGCTTTTTTTNTTTTTTTCGAATCATATGCGAGTGACGGAAATGTTATGCGGTTGAAAAATGCTTAAAAAAGCGAATGGGATGAAAATATTCCAGTTTGATCACTAAAAACATTCCAGAGAAGTGCAGCTGATTAAGTTAAACGTCGAATGACTTCAAGAAGTGATAATAACAGCAATATTCACCCGAAGTTCCCTTCGTTCATTTACGGCTTTTTCGATTTGATCTTGTAAGCGGAAAAATGGCATTGAACCAAGTCGACCGGTCAGTTGAATAATTTTTCGGACGAGCGATTTTAATGGTGGTGGCAGAAGACGTATGAGGAATACAACAGGGTTATCCGATTCCCGGCTAAACATTTCTTTAACAGCCTCCAAATATTCGTTATGGAATTGTTGTGATTCTTTAAAGCCCATCGATATACGTGCAATTACGTCCATTGTTAATTCTTGGTAATATCTGCAATAGACGATCATACTATTTAACATGTGTTAGAGTACACTTTCAATATTTTATCACATTATATTCAGTATTCACTGAAATGCTTGACTGCATCCTCGAATTGTGAATTTCTTGCACGCCAAAAGTCCCCTCAACCTTCAGTCACATGATATCCCAAGCATTCCTTTATGTTGGTAACATTTTGGCTCTGAGAACGAAACGAGTGACTCGTTCACATCATGCTATGTTTGAGTTGAAACACGAAAAGAAAAGCACGTTCATGCGTTATGATTTCAATTCTTTTTTCAGGGGAACTGAGACACGAAATAAAACGCAAAAATAACTGACGTATGAATATTGAATGATTTTTGCTTATCAACGTGTTCTAACATGTAACCCAGCATGACCTTCACTGAATCTTCGACTGTACCTTTTATCTGCAACATTAAAACGATCTTTTCAAATCATTCAGCTATACCAAACTACATACGTTTATTATTGCCTTATTCTGACTGTTATTGAAGAAACTGGATTCTATGAGTGAACTTCTCGTTAGAAAACGATATTACTGCACTTATTTGAAGAAACGGATGAAAGCATCGATATTATTATTATTATCCAAATTTACTTGCATTCTCACATCATTCAACCGTCACAGTTTTGAATGATTGATTGAGCAGTTAGGTGTGACATATTGTCAATATTGCGAGTACTTTTCTATGCTACCTTTCAAATTCAATGTTTGCAAGTTATCGCTCGATCAAAAAACTCGTTGTGCTACTCCCTGATCGCTAAGTTGGGGTAAAGTAAACAAACGAGATAACTGCTAAACGAGAAAGTAACGTTGGACATTAAAAAACGAGTTTTTATCGAATCCCTACGTTGTTCAGTTGCTTTCGAATCGAGGTCATTAAACAAAATAGATGAAAAATAGAAACAAAAATGAGTAGAGCCAAGCGTTAGGCGATCAAAGCACTTTCGTGTTTAAACGAGCCGTTGAAATGAAATTGAATTATGAGTGATCAGTAAGAGATTTAATGTTTGCAGGATTCGTTTTTGTGGAGCTTTTTTTGAAAGATGCCGAGATGAATAAAATTCTCCTTGAACATTGTTGGTAAAAGAGTGAAAGAAAAAACGCTGAATGAAGTTTTACTTTTTTGAGAGAATTCACTGAAAAAGTAGGATTTGATAGTGCCCTCAATCGCTTCCAACGTAAACCTCGAGCCGCGAACACGTGAACACGTTCCTCTTTGTCAACATCATCAATGTATAACACTTCCTGAATTGAAAAGCATGATGAAGTTTCCAATTAACAAAATGTAAATAACAGATGATGTTCATTCCTATATATTGTGTATTGTTTGCCTCGAGGATCAACCGAATGATTATCTGACCGGTACAGAGCTGAACTTGACAGTATGTTATTTGCGTTTTGATAACAGTCACCGTCAGGACTAATGATAATGATAATGAAGCAATATTGTGATAGGATAGTTAAATACCAACTGTTTTTATGGTTTATTCACGTATGTTCAGTTAATCTAACAGCCTTTCAGAAGTAGCGCGAATTTTAGCAATAATAACAAAATAAATATTGATCATAATAATAACTCATTAAATTTTTAACACATCATCACCTTACGACCATAAAACTGCTCAAATTTTTTCAAGAACAAATCTTGCATCATGTCCAAATCACTTATAACCAGAACATTTTGCCATCCTTCTTGAATGCCATATACTTTGCCATACTGTTTCGTCCAGTCACGAATTTGTAATGGTGCCGCATATTCAGGTCGACTAAGATCCTTCAAATTACCACACCAAAACGACGGCTCTGGGCCAGTTATGTGACGTCCCTTCCAAAATGTTCGATGTATGTAAATGTGTCTGAATAAAGCATTGAATCGCCAACAATAATTAATCGCGAACAAATTAATCCTATTGAATTGATTGAAACCGACAAAAGTGGCAAATGAAAGAATAAAACGAAGCAGCTCTTTGTTAGAGTGCGATTGTTCTCAAATGTACATACCGAAGAAGAAAAGCGAAGACGATTAAAAGTGCTAAAACTGCGATCCACAAATGAGCCATATCCTAAATCAAGCATAATTTATTCACTTTCCTAACAAAATAATTGTTCACAGCATATAAGCGAAACAAAAGTTACCGAACTGATGGGAAATTCGCTCATTCGTCAATTAACTTCTCTAAATAGCACAGTGGTGGCAATATTGAAGCGAAAATATCGAAACAGTTTTGAAGAATCGGAAACAGATTCAGTACGATGATAATTAGCTATCGCGGGCGAGGATAAGATCGGTATTAACGACACAACAATCCTTTGCTTCATATGATCATGGTTTTTAATGGTACTATCTGCTGAGTTTTTGAAAAGATTTCACGGTANTCATTGCAATCGCTCGCCCGCAACGGCGAGCAGGAGTACCTCATAAAGCTGAACGCTATCAAAACAAATTTTCTTCAGGTAACTCAGTCTCAGTTTCAGGTGCAGCTCATAAAAGTCGAATGACGATCGCACGTCATTATTAACCAGAATACAAACAACGAATAATTCGATCACCGTCCGTCAGTTCGGTGGTGTACAAATTAACACACACATAAGTAAACACAACTTGTTATTGCATATTGTTGGCAACTCCTTATTATTCATGTCAATCTACTCATATTTGCTTGTGTAAAACTCTTTGGACGCCGATGTCGCTATTTCAAAACAACTTCCCTCAACAAACAAGTTGTCGAATGTTAAAAGTCGTAGTGTGATGCTCAATGTAATCCTACATTGTGATAAGAAGCGTACATAATCAAACATCGTCGCCTGAGTTGTAATTGTATGGTTAACAACTTGATTATGAACTGTAAGCAACAGTGAATTCAGGCGATTTATTTACCGGAGATGCTGATCACAGAATCAAACTACAGTGTCAATGAACAATTGACATGATTACCATTCAAAAATCCAACAAAAAACCAGTTGTAATGAACATGTTTACGAATTTTACATGTTCATTTCTGTTCAGTCGTGTCCTCAGTCATATGATTCGATTGCAATACAGCTGTTGATGTTATTTGATAAGCAACTGTGTTTTATGGCCAATGCTGTGAATAACTTCTTTCTGTTTCCCTTTCGATAGCAATTCGTTGACAAAATATGCGAATAACAATAAATTCGATCNCATACCAATTGATGAACGAAGAATGAAGGATCAGCCGAAATTACAATCCAAACATTCAACACACTCTAAACTCGGTTTTTTCATAATCCTGAAACGCGACTCTTCATAATTAGTTTCCATGTTTCTATGCAACAATTTCCAATTTCACTGTTTACACGATCGTTTTTTTTTGATAAAATCTTCACGAGATACTCTTAAAATATTTCAATGCATAAACAGCTGTCAACGATTTTGATAGCCACAAACAATCCTTGAAAATTTTCTAACGAACTTCCCTCATTGCCAAATTGAATGTCATGGAAAGTTCATTTCGTAATTTCCCATTAAGAATATACTTACCGTTTCTAAACAATAAGTCCATCATCCTTATTATCAAAGTGTTTGAGAACATCAACTTGGCTATATCATGCATTATAATTTAAGGCCAATTTCGTCACAGCATTATCTACAGATTTGCCTTGAAATATTCGGAAATTCAGGACTATTCCTGAACGGTTCGTTGAACGCTGATACCCTAAGGTGCATCATCGTCTTCCACAGAGAGCTTATATTCGCATATCCCTCATCTGTTGAAGAAATTCTCTTGATATTCTTTCTTCATTCTTTGAATCAGTTTAGGCCAAGTGCCAAGTGTCCTTCCCATGCATCCAATGTCTAATAGGGGTGTGCAACTCAAAACAATCTCGAAACGAGCTGAGGTATGATAAAGTGGCCAGCCTCAGGAGGTCCGTCCATCTGGAAAAAAAATGAGACAAGAAGTTTCGACTGCCAACGGCAGTTTCTGAGAATATCAAAAGCGTTCGGAGACGGCAATTATTCTGTAGTAAAACTTATAGTTTTTCAACCACTTTCATCTTCTGGTGTGATTCCATTATTTTCGAAATCAAAATGAATAACAATAATCACGGGGAACTAATCAATTTAAGTTTTGACAAAAGAAATACGTTTGAGAAATGAACTGAAATTTTCAATTAAAAAAGAGAACTTATGGATCGCTTCCATCCTAAAAAAAANAAAAAAAACGAGAAAGACAAATCCGAGAATTAATGCAAGATGGGTGTCTGACAATGAGATAGTTGGGCGATGGTATTGTCGTCCACTTCAGTTTTTTTCTTAGATGAAGTGATATCCTATGTTGTTAAATGACTGTTACTTTTGAGAATGTTGAGATGATACCCTGTGAGCCGGATATCAATTAATGAGGCTGAGTTCACAGGGAACTTGATCACTTCATAATTGATGCCTATGGACAGTAATAATATCACGTTGTAGAGCGATGGGCGATTTCTAGATGAATCTATGTATCGCCTTATAGATCCAGGAGTATATACACACTTTAAACGAGTATTCTGCTGGCCAGATACCTTGAAAAATTCTGATTTTAGCAACGTTGAGGTTTCAGGTTACTCGAACAGGACTTGCACTTCACAGGAATATGATCGAATAGATAGATCAAAATGCGGTTTTCGAATGAAATAATATTTCGTGCCATCAAATTCTTCAGGATAGCGTTAGTTTGAAGATGACGACCCTGAAGTAATCCACAGACTGATCAATGGAGATGCAGTGTAATGAAATAAGCGCTGCCCACCAAGCGATATATTTTTAAAAAATCAGCTATTTCACAGAATGTAAGCAAATTCGCCCGACAAAATAGATACCTTTCGGAAACTATCATTTTGGTCATTTAAATACACTATATCGCTTTCGATCAATCTGTCCAGTAACTTAGCAATACCAGGAGCATCATTTTCAAGCTAACTCTGTCCTCTTGTTTTCCAAAAAAGATTGTGATTTTTTTCACACCAGCGGGTTTCCCAGATTCTTTAGTTTCGGAAAAGTATTTGTGATTTCAAGGCAATTTTGCGTACTTGCAGATAAATAGCTGATTTTCTGAAGGTATCTCATTTGCTAGGCAGTGCTCATTTCAGTACACGGTACCTCCATTGATCAATCTGTACATAAGTTTAGCGGTATCAGGATCACCATCTTCAAGCTAACGCTGCCTTCAGGTTTGCCCACAAACATTGTGTTTTTTCACACCATATTAACTGGATGTGGACGATTAGTGCGAAATCTGAGTCTCTGCGAACACCCATTATTAAGTTTTGATTTTGTGTGAACCATAGTCATCAGAGGTGGTTCATTCCTCAGCTGAGGGCAAACTGGAAGCCTCGTTTGAGAATACTGTGGTTGGTTCTGGAGAACCTCTTTTGCTCCCGGGAAATGCCTGTTCGTGGAATCAAAAGAGCTCCTGTTTTCCAGTAAAAAAAAGCCTTTTGCCTTCTGTGGACCAGGCCGTCCCTTCCTGTTCCTGATCATTCTCCCCGCTTTTCCATCACATTTCTTAGGTAACCAGCTTTGGAGATGGATGAGAAACATGAATAAAGAGAACAGGAAGAGGAATGTAGAAACAGAATAGACATTGAGGTGGATAGGATGGGCGTTGAGAAGTACCTCGCCGGAGGAGTTATCCGGAAAGCTCAAGATAAAGGGAAGAATTGGATATCGTACCTGGTGATGAAGTAAGCAGAGTCGGAAGACGTTGATTTGCACGAATTGTGAACTAAATAATCAAACGGGCGATTTTAGACACACTTGTTATATCATTAACTGGAATCCCTTATTTCATTAAAATGAAATACTAATTGTCAAAATTTGGAGGATAAATTACGTAAGAGGTTTTTGTTTCAGAATGGTTTTTTGGTGGAATGATGTCTTTTTTTATTATCATCAATGTGTGAAAATTGTGTAGGGATCCGCTCGTATCATGTCCTTGTTAACCGTTCATAGTCATGCCAGTAAAATAAAATTTTGCAGATTCTATTTGTTTTTGTCGAAATATGGCCGAATTAGATCCTTTGTTGCTTGGTTCGGTTGGATTTCTTCTAACAGCGATAACGCTGATAATTGTTCGAGTGATTATGTTGTATTATGATGAGAGGAAAGCGCACCAACGTACAGAAGCGATTTTGGCGATGGCGGCCGAGGATGGTCGTAGGGGTCGTGATGAGCGAGAAACTGTCGGTTAGTACATGTTGTTTAACGAATCTTTGTTTTATTAAAGTGCTCATAGTTGTATTTCATTTTTTATCAGCTCTTTTTGCAGTTCATATTCAATGAAGCGGTATAAAGTGTCTTTACGTCGGTGATATTTTATGATGAAAAGTTACATTCAAGTTTGAATCGAACCAGAAGAAAGTTGTGGTTTACGATGAGATATGCATTGAGCCATTATGAACTAGAAGGTTGTGCCTGCCTTCAGTTGTTGCTGGCAGACGGCGAGCGGCCGCTCGAAGACGTGTGAATCATGGAGATGAGGATATGGGCTTCGTGGCAGCTGCTGCTGGCATGATAAATAACGATTCCGATCAAGGTTTTCAGTTTTATTTGCGAACAAATCATTCAATATCGGAATTTTATGCTTCGAAATTGGCCATAAATTTTCCGTTCGAGGAGGAATTCTGGTTAAATCACGTGTGCTTGTGTAGAATTATCGTTCCTCGCAGTCTCAGTTTGCTGCCTTCAGATTTCTTTTACTTTTAAAGAGCTTATCATCATAATTCCGAAATCTGTTAATTAAACAAATTCAGAAGAAAATCCGTTACTGGGTGAAGCGAACGCTACAGATGAACACATCGGTAAAAAGAAACTTGCTAAGATGCAAGCAAAAGCTGAACGAAAAGCGCAACGTGAAGCGGTTTGTAAATAATAATCTTTATTCAGTTTAATAATATGTTTTGTTTAAACAAAGCAATCATTTCAATCTCTTATTTCTTAACGACGTTCAAATCAAATATCATTCAAATGATAGAAATATCATTTTAAAAAATCCCGCATGTCGTCTTAACCGGATATCTTCCGACGAACGCATAACTCAATTGTAATTTTGTGGTTCATTTTCACAATTCCTTCTCCCCTGTTGGAATGCGTTATAGGAATGCGTTTTTGATACCCAAAAAGTTATTGACTGAGACTGAATAAGTTCATGTGTGATATCTTAAGGAGCTCGTTGAACGTGAGGAAAGGAAGAAAAGAGAAAAAGAAAAGGAGGAAAAACGCGAAGCCGAACGAGAGAAGGAACGATTAGAAGAGGAAGCCGAGAAGGAAAGAAAACGCATCGAGAGGGAGGAACGTGAAAAACGTGAAGAGGAGGAATATCAGAAGGTGATCTATTCAGTAATCAATTCTTCGCGAATTCAATAAATCACGTCAATTCATTTGTCTAGAGGCATAGATGCCATGTAATGTGATTCGAGCATAAGTTTAAATTGAACCGAGTAATGAAAATCTCGTACGTCAGACTTCGAAGGGATGAAAAGTTGCATCCAGTAGGATTAGATTGAGGCTCAGTTGTAGCAAAGGTTTGCGTGTCTTTTTTTTGTTCGGGTTTATAACATTCGCTGTACTTGGATTATGGGCTTTTTCTGCCAAATACGTGATGAATCGTTAGTATCTGATAATTAGTTATTTTAGAAAATGGATTAATAGCGTTACTGATAAATTTATGTCGATAAGATGTTCAGAGCGGCTTGATAAATATTATATTGTCGTTCATTGAGCCCATCTCATCTTCATTATTCCGTGCCAGTATACCTAATAAAATGAAATTAGATCGGATTACCGGTGAACGAAAACGAATATTCTGAATTTTAGATGAAAGAAGCGTTTGAAGTGGACGAAGAAGGATTTGATCTACGTGATGATGAGGAAAATGAAAATTTAATGAAGCAGTTCGTTGATTATATCAAAAGTGCGAAGGTAAATGTTCTTGTCTGTATCTCTTTGACTTTGACTTTCCTAGCGAACGAATTGTTCATAATATTGTTGCTTGTCGTTATCTGCTTAATATTAGTTAATATCGTGATTAGCTCGTTTCGGTGAATGAATAATGGAGGTTGTGCAGTGATTGTGATTTATTATTGTAGTGAGTAAATGATACATTTAGGTGGTTAATATGGATGAATTGGGTGCACATTTCAAGTTGCGAACTGAAGAAGCGATTGATAGGTTGAATTATTTCATCGATAATGCCTTCTTAACGGGTGTGATGGATGATCGAGGCAAATTCATTTATATCACTGATGATGAATTGAAAGCCGGTTAGTTGCTTCATTCATTCGGTGGTTTGCTCTTTTTCTATTGTTTTCCAAGAATTTGATCGTTGAATATTCATTGTCAGTAATAATCGGAAGTGATGTAAATGAATGATCATAAATTAGTGACGATAGCATTATTAGTCTGCGAACTAGTATTGTTGCAGCTGTTTATGTTGTACATTTCTTTACAACTGTGCTGTTATAATTGGGCTATCGCCTAAGGGTGAGATTTCTCGGCGATAATTAATTTTTACTTCCTACTTACAGTTGCGAAGTTTATCAACCAACGTGGTCGCGTTTCGCTGAGTGAATTAGCCGAATACAGCAATAAGTTGATCAGTTTAGATTCGAAGGCATAACTTTATGGACGTTTGATTCTTTCGAGCAATACATTTAACGATACTTATTTCGATGCTAGCACATTCGTTGATGTGGCAGTTTTTGTTTTTTACGGTGTATATTCGCTGCATGTATGTGTGTTTTTAACTTTTTGATGTGTTTTTGATCCGCTCTCGCAAATTTGCATAATTGTTGTGCAATTGTACGATGGCGTTCATCATTTTATATCGGTACGCATTAAAGGCTTCAGAGCGATTCAAAAACTTTTTGTGAATGTTTCACGAAAAGATTTCGCTTTCCATAAGATGAATCTTACTTTTACATGGGAATGGTTGTTTTATTTGTGATAATTTTCTAATCATCAAATTTTCTTTTTTCTTCAACTTTCAAAATTCAATATAGTTTACGTGATACGAATAAAATTTTTTGAACACAGTTGACCACTTTCTTCCATATTCATTTGGTTTGTGTAATTTTTACATTCTGAATGAGGGAATTTTATGTTTTAAAATATTTGATCTTTTTCTTGACACTATCCTAATATCTATTTTGTCACTTAATTGGAGCAGATGTCATAAACATTTCCCTCTGAAACTTCACATGGTGACGACAATATACTTATTTTATCAGATAGAGCAAATATATATCAGTTTGTTGGTTTATATTGAAATATAAGACGTATGAGATTAAATGAAATTCATTCATAAATTATGAACAATTATCAGTGAAATGTGGTATCAGCGTTAATGATATATTGCACAGTAGTAATGATAAGATATTTATTGGGAGATTTCACATGAAAGCAGCATAATCATCTCACTGTATGCCCACCGAGATCAGATCACATTCTGCGGACACGACCGGTTTACAGAGAAATATTTCCTTCCAAACGCTAAAACTCTTTAATCAGTCGCGAAATTGCTGGCAATTCATAATAACAAGGATAACAGTAATATGATAATCGTAATAGTAATAATCAGTGTGAATAATTTTAATGTTGGCAATAACAATAATATTGTTAGCATCAAGTTTAAAAATAATAACGGTATTACGAACAACCATATAATAACAATAACACAACACATTGAGAGATTCGCGTTACCTGTTTCGTTGTTATATTTGGTAAAACGAAACTGCACACTGTTTAAAAGATCACTTCGAATGTTCTCAACAGATTTGTTTGTTTGATATCTTCTTAATAATTTGTACATATGCATCAAGTTATTTACAAATTCAATTTACAATCATTCGCGATACTATACATTCATCACATCACCTTCACAATCAGAGCTGTTAAACTCGACAATTTTGAGCTTCGACCGACCTCCTCTTACCATATTCTCGCCATCGTGTTACGCCTAACACTAGATTGATTACCGTAATGAATGCTACTGCAATTTCGAGTGCAAATGGACCAGCGAATGGATTTAAGCTGAAAACAATAATGATTGCAATCAGATAAGGTCGAATGAATTCAGGGCTAAGAGTATTCCGTCTTTCTGCGTAAATAAACCAAAAGAAATGTCAGTGACATTGACATTATTGCGTTTAAAAAACACGAAATGTTAGGTGACATTCAAATAAGACAGTAAAAAAGTGAACACTCCAAATACTGAACGTCAACAAGAATTGTTTGGTATTCTAAACGAATGATTGACGCAACAAATTACTTTCGAATGCTTATTGAGGAATGCATTTTTCATTTGAAATTAGTTTGTGTGTTAATTGACAGATGATTGAATACAAACTAACAAGAAGAGAACAGCAAATGAAATTGCAGCCAGGAAATTGAAACACATCAGCGGGATGAGTTTGTTTCGTTTTCTTTCTTCAATTCCACTCAACGCAAATGTCACAATACGTTCAACAGCAATCAACGCAACCAACATCAAAGTTACTGCAGTTTGATACTGTCACAATTTGTGATCACACAATGTTTCATTATCATTCGGTACATCGTTAGTGCAATTTACTATGAAAACTACATGCAGTTATTTGCAATTCCCCACAAATTATCTGCTTCTGTTGAAATAATTCCCCACAAAACTTTTTTTCTGGATGACATGAACGTTACCAATTACCATTCACATTCAGATCAGAGCAATGTCACACAGTCACTTTCATTAGATCGAAAGCAAGAAATGTTACAACTGAAGAGCAATGAAGATAAACGTTTGAACGTCCATTTATTTTCAAACTTGATATAGCATAATAGCCATAAACTGCAATCATTTAAGTGCTAACTGACTCGTTAACGCTTCAGGTATCATCGCAAGTGTTGGTATATTTCCCACCATATGAACGATCATCCAGAACGCTTGTATGCGTTCATATTCTACCGTATTCTGCAACAACACGATACCTTATTTACGTTTTGGAATACAGTTGACTTCATTTGCAGGCACTGCATAAATGTTATAAAAAAAACTGAGAAAGGATGTTGGAAGAGATGTGAAAGTCTAGTGTTAAAGGGCCAAGAATGCAGCCACCAAGCAAACACGATGACGACAGCCGTAGTTGTGCACTGCTCGTTTTCAGAGTGTCATATTTTGCTAATTTACGCTTATTAGTATATGAAATCCAAAGACTCGGAAACTCAGAAAAACGACTAAAGAAAAAACCTTTGTGATACGATCCAAAGTCCAAAATCTGCGTTTGATCTTATTTGGTGAGCTTACTAAAATGGTAACATTAAATACATTTACGCGCATACATCTCATGGAACCGATATGCATTTATCGCGTAGTTCCTAACCGGTATAAATTCTGAATTAACTTTGGAAATTTGTTTTGAAAATGTCGTTAGGAAAACTTGAAGAAAATCTTTTGTTAAAAATAACTTTTCTCATCGGTCATTTTGAGCATTTGTTTATTGGAAGAAAGAGGCGAAAAACCGAGAAAATAGAATCTTGGGATATATATGTATAAATGCATACATGCAATTGACGAGAAAGAAGCGAGTACCACAACGATCAGGATCATTATAGGAATCACTCGAACGGTCGACAGTGCATCAAGCAACGAGAAGCCTTCCAGAATATCGCTGCGACCGAATAAACTTCTGAAGTTTCAGATCGTGATCAAAATAACGTTAACGAGCAGAACTTAGTGGTACAGTAGATTTGTGGGGAGGATACTATAGAATACTTTACCCTCCATCGAATCAGTGTAAACGATTTTTGTTGTTATATGTAACCAAATTCAATAAATATAAAACTGCTGCGATGACAAATTCCCATTGCATCAATTCGACAGTAAAAACCATAATATTTTTTGAACAATCAATAAAATGTGATACCGAATACTCGTGTCAAAATGTTTCCTGTTTGCTGATGCAAACTGATTCAGCTGAATCACACAATAATATAACTAAGGTTAGGACGGAAACCGCTGAGCATCTATACGAGTCCTGGACCCCTCGAACTAACTCGCTACACTCGGGTGCTCCCAAGTCTAATTTCGGATCCAGTCCAAACACAAAAGATATCATCGTTTCCTATGAAGATATAATATCAAGTGATCAAATGAACTGACTTGATTTTAACGAAACCAGTCGAAACGGCAATCGGTAAAGTGCAAACGAAACCGATGTCGAATAAACCGAACAGAATTGCACGTTTGTACTGACGTGTCTCACGTGCATAATGTGCATTCTCGTGTGCGTATGTCCCCAACAAGAGAGTGCCGAGTAAAACGACTGGAAGGGCATAGATCGACATCACTTATGGTAAATTGCACATCATCATTGATTCTGGTGGGTGGGTTTATGATAGTCGCTTTAAAACCTTTTGGTGATTTTCTGAGAGGGACATTTCCAGAGAGATAATCGCATCGATATGATTTAAAAACTGTTCCTTCGAAATCAGTCGAGATGATTTTCAGGATTCAGATGAAACATAAAACATCTCGAGCACAAATATGCATTCGGCATAATAGCACAATTCCGAAGCAAATGATAATAATTTCGTTTAAGTGATTGTTCTTTGAGAGTGAAATGTGATGTCGAACGAAATATGACGCACCAAGAATAGATACACCGTAATTGAGACTAAGATTCATCCAGTCCGTGAATACGAATAATGTGAACCAAACCATTGAGAAGAGCACATTCGAGAAAACGGCACACATCTGGACATATGGATGAGCATTAAGTTACTGATTAACGTTGATCGTTGAATTATTCACAAAAGAGGGTGCTGCTTCAATATTAGAATATTTATAATTCCCATCTGAGACAGCACATTCTGAGATGGTCTCATAAGAACAACACCCGTCTAAACACTGCAAACTGTGATGAATTTGAAAGTGCGTAATGGCCAACCCAAACAAATGAAATGAAATACCTCAACAACACGTATATGTTGATCGCTTCGTTCATCACGATATTTTTCAACTAAAATCCTTCCAAATAAATGCGGAATGATGGAACAAAAGGGAACAGTCAACTTCATAATCATGACTTTATGGTCAACTTCATTTGTGACTTTCTTGCAGTAATGAGCAATTTGACAGTCTAACTTAAAATACTATTCAAGTGATCAACATCACATACAACTTCAATCAACAGTAGGTATCAACTGATGGGGAACAAAATAATGAAGTAAGTAAACATGTCCAAATTCAGTGCTATGCATATAATTATGATCTATTTCGAATTTCTTCAAAGACATTCGTAAAGTTCTTCAGAAAGTCATTCATTCCAAATTGCTTCAAGCTATGATTCGTTATGTTCCAACTAACCAGGATCAATACAACGATGTTCGGCGGGTTTTGCTTGATTATTTACTGAAAACCCAATAAATGTAAGTTTAAAAAGAGACTGTGTGAAAGATGGTGCTGGAAATTTGGATTTCAATAAATCTTGAAATACAAATGAAATATAATTCGAAATATGACCGGTAGCCAATTGTCGAACAATTTACAACAATGCAAATTGCATATATTGCTAATCAATAACAATCGTATTATATGTGTTTTCGTTGGTAATTTTTCTCAACCGAAAATATATAACTTGATTCGAGGAAGTGCATATTATTATGGGTAAAATTATCATCGCTATATGGGAGATGAAATGCATTTTATACCTGAATGAATGCGTTCAAGCAGCTCTCTCAAAAGAGTGATTTTAGAAGTTAGGATTGAGATTGCGATTTTGATGGGTTTTGTATTGGTTGAAGCGAAGGAATCATCGTTAATTATCACTCCGTTCTTTAGTAATTCTTCCGAATCCAACCCTTTATCGTCCACATCGTTTTTTGCTTGTTTCAGCTGCTTAACTGAAATATAATTCGAAATATGACCGGTAGAAAAATATAAATTTCATTGAATGCATTGATCACGAAACTGAGTTTGCACTAAATTTCTGTTTGCTTTGAGTTGTTACCATCAAAAAAGCTCGAATACTCGATATCAATAATTTATTACTGAATACGTAGAAAATTCCATAGACTTACTCACGATCGTTGTGCCGTCACCTTTCTCCACTTCAACTGATGGTTCAACGAGCACAGTCATCTGAAACACAGAAAGCAAATGAATTGTTAACTAACACCATTAATGTAAGACAAACGAATACAACACACAAAATTAAGAATATTCACCAGAAATATAACTGAAAACAACTGTAACGTTGATGCACAATTACATCACATCAGCTGAATGTTTCCCGATTTATACATGGGATCATCGAGTACAGCGATGTACTATTTCATTTGCGTAAATTTCACGACAACAAAGAAGGACATAATATTTCTAAAGAAGACAAGAAAGAATCATTAACGATCGCTGATATTAATCCCTATAACTCCATTCGAGAGTGCACTCAATCCTAATCAAATCCGTGCGACCATCACTAGTTCTGCCTCGAAATTTAACTGGACGAGAGGTCGTTCAAATAAGTATAATCGAGGAAAAAACTTGAAATCACGGCGAACACCCCTACGAAGACTATCGGAAAACTGCGGTTTAAGCTCGCAAAATTTGCTTTCATCTGGACAAAAAAGTTTCAATCTCCAAATAAATTTTTCATCAAGAGCGAGGATAGTAAAATCATTAAAAATACACTATGAATTGATTTGCTGGTCTCATCGGTAGTTATTAACTGAATCGATGATACAAAGTAACTGAAGAGCGCTCAATGTGGCGAACAACCAGCAAGAGGATGCAAAACGAGCACATTGATGAAGGCTCGAATTTGCGGCTCATCGACGTCACTCAAACCACTCAAAAATCTATCTTGAAAGGGACACTACGAGATGGATTGAGGGCGTATTTGATGAGCATACTACATCAATACGTCCTAACTTAACTCGCACAGCAAATGCACGCACGCATCAGCTCTATTCATCGTTAGACGAAGTGGTGGTGGTCTAGAGGGCAACGTATATCTCGTACATGCACTTTCCTGGATTAGCATCCGTGCATAACGGTTGATGACATCAATGTATCGTTGAATTGATTTTTATTGAGATGAGTGTAGCGTGAATGAAGTATGCGATCAAAATGAAATGTCTTCGGCTTTCTCGGAAGAATGAAGCGTTCTTGAAGTTATTCCTCACCGGCAATTTCATTCAGTAAATCATTCAAAACCGTGAAAGTAATCGCCGAACCAAATTTGGTTCAAACCATTAGTTTTCAGTATTTCGACACAACAAAATGTAATTACCATCTATCCACAATATCAACATCTTTACTGTTGCATCGAGGGTGGATAATTTAAAGAGATCAGTGAAATTCACAAAGTGCGATATTTCTCAACTACAACAATCAGAATAAAGAATTTCCACTTCAGAGAATGTGCTCAATTAATCCAGTATCAATTAATCTAAATCCAAAAATCCAAAATCCAAAAAATCCAAAAAGTCAGTTAATCCAAAAATTTAATCCAGTAACCTTATTAGAAAATCCATAAACCGTACTGAAAATTTTGAAGTTTACATGTTACATTTGGTCATGAAAGTCGACAGCGTTGCAACTTCCTGCTTTAAACGAATGAAGAAATTAATAGTAAGTAAACATTTTGAATGAAAAAGCCATTTCTTGCTCAAGAAACTTCCCTCCATTGGTTGTTCTTTTATTGAAGGGAAAACATTTAATAACAATTATAAAGCTCTCCATTCATAAATCCCAATTCCGCTAAACTTAACAATATGCCATGACAGTGTGTCAGTACCGCATATTCAAAACAGTTACATGAATTCGGTGTGTTAACTCTCCTCGTGCGACAATTTTCAGACGAGTTTTGTCCTGCATTTGTCGAATTTTTCTCTTTGAAATCAACTTCATTGTTACTGATTGCATCTATGTCTTACCACTCTTGAAGGCGACCATCTGAGTTGAATAGAAAAAACTGTGATTGAGACATCAGCTCATTTCATTAATTCATCCGAACGATCAACATTTCATTACTTGCTGATTACATTTCATTACTGTAGTTTGAAAACGCCAACAACTCGGAAACCATAGAAATATTGAAAAATCGCCTTAGTAACGACAACCCTATTAAAAGATCAATTTACCAGATCACCTTAACAATGATTCTATTCCCTTCGCAGACGTGAAAATTTTTCGACTTGAGAAATATTGCGGAAAAAATCGATGGTATTTACCCCAACAAATGAAGTCTTCAGGTGAAGAAATGAATCACATTCTCTTTGATTACCAAATGCAGCAAATGTCTGCATTGATCGAATTAGGCTCCAAATAATGATGAAACAACTTGGATGAACAGCTCATCGATATTTGTGAAGAAGTTGTGCAAACAGCATAAAATTATCAGGAGAACGACCTCTAACAAGAATTTCCAAATTTTCGTAAAATTTTACAAAACATCTGAAAATATATCGTCCACGATGTTGGAAGAAAATAATTAAACAAGTGCGCCTGCACATATTAAATGATATAATAACGATAAATCATCATGCGTTTTTCTTGAGAGAAGAGGCAAATTGCAGATAGCGTTCGAAATAGGAGAACATGTCTGATGGAAAGAACAAGCTATATGTGTACAACAATGTCGCTTTCCGTTTTCACTACAGTGAAGAGTACAAATATATTATCACTCCCCTGACTGTGTCTATAAAAAAGTGATAATATTGTATTTTTTACGAGCGAACGACGACCAGTATCAATGCGCATTATAACTTATCAGCGCATTACAACTCAATCGAAGAATGCACATAGTCACGTTCGGTGAAGGGTAATTGTGAAGAGGGTATGGATCGCGTGAGATTTGTTTTTTGAAGGTATGAAAACGATCCGATATGTTATCACGAAGCAATCCTCCAGCAGAACGATTATTTGAAGGCTCATCAGCCGAAAGCTGTACGAATTCCGCTTAAGTTACGATGCATTTATCTCAAATTGGTTACTATATCCAAAAATTACACTCAAAGCAACGTTATCTTCAGGCATTTTTTTGCTGCAACAAAGAGGGGAATTGTATTCAGAGTGAAAAAAATCTAGTATCAATTGATGAAATTAGCAGCCATCTCACAATCTTGCTTGATCAACCTCAAAGTGTGTGCGAACAGAACGAATATCACTGAATAACTATAATGAATTTTTTTCAGGAATCAGTTAGAATTTTGCTTGATATATGACCAAAAATGCAGAGCGGAAATAATTCAAAATCGAAAAAAAAGAATTGATCTTGTAGTAGTAGTTTATATGCCAGCGTATGATGCTCTTTTACGTATATTATTGATAACTTCGTATATGATTCATGATTTGTGAGAGTTGAACGTTTTCAAATAGTGAATGCTTTCTCAGATACTCACGCAGGAAAAGAAGGTATCGAAGTGTCTCTGAATGGTGTTTTCGCTGAATAATTGGAACGATAGCAGCAGATATTTAGTAGCAGAGTGCGATGGAAATTGATTCGTTAATGAATGAAGCAATGTATCATTAATTCATGTCCAATCCCCCTTTGTAATCAATCGATTACGCCAAATTTATATCATTTTCGAGAAAACAAAAAACAGCTCTTCCTATTGATGAACTGAATCGATGATAATTCATCGTTTGCACACAACAGCACCAATATGACAGGTAAACAATTACCTTCCGAGTGTTCAATCCGTTGATTCAACTGCTATTAAGCAAGAGCATCATTTTATCATTCAGCCGTACTACTGATAACACCATATCATTCACTTGCATTAGATCATCAAAAATCATTTCAATATTCCATTCAGACGTTCATTTTGAACATTACATTACTATTTTCAGCAATTGTACCGCCGCTATCGAACAAGCGTTTTTAGACTATTTTTTTGTTGTTTTGATATGATATTTTCCTTATCACTGAGCCAATATGTTGTACAATCAACGCGTGAAATCAATACTTCAAATACCAGTTAGGATCATTGTTAGTGATCTTATTTGTTGCGAAAACTGATCAAATATGGAACTGTGATAATTTCATTCCATTTTATTTATAAGTGAGATGAAAGAGAACAATAAGCTGCAGTCGTAAACAATATAACTCTATGATGATAACACAGTAATGAGTAATCTTGTTCGAATAATTATTAAAAATCTTATATTAATAATTTCTTATTAATAGTATCACCATATTACTCAACAAACGCACAAATTTTGATGGAGTATCGACCATTGGTAATTGAATTTAATTGTTTGATTGATAAAAATATGTTTACAACGTTACAAGCGATCGATCTCTGTTGCTTATTCATGATGACACATATCACCGTTATGGAGTGTTGTGCGACCAATGAAATTTTGATTTTCAATTGTCAAATGCACTTCATTTTCAGTGAATTAAACACCTCCGAAGTGATGACATTGCAACTGCAGTGGTATGATTATACCGCACCTTTACTGACCTTCGGCATTTTTTGTTTAGTTGTCTTTATCATATCGTTCACATGTCTCAACTTTTGTTGTATTGAGAAGGAGGACGATTTGACCGTTTTCGAAGAGGTTAATCTCAGCAGCACTTAATATTATCATTGTAATCAACGTTATTAGAGACAATCTTGACTGCTTTCTTTATTATCTTCATTACTACGATTTCGTTAGAGTGTTGTAGTAATTATTTGAAATTGATCAATACGCGTCTGATAGAGTTTTACGAAAGATTTTGGTTCTATCGCACGTTACTATTATCATAAACGCTGTCAGATGAGTAATCAGCGGTTCGGATTGCCCCTTTTACAATCTCTTCTTGTCGCAGAAATTTGCCGTATTTAGGACAGTTGATCGTTCAAGTTCAGGAATTTTTCACTTCAATATTTTTACTTTTTTTTTGAGGATATGCAGCATGTGTGATGCCAAAACAAAAAAAACTTATGTCTTTATCAGTGAAATTTGGAGCTACAAATGAACAATACGGCAAAATATGTCTACATATGTAGCTCCACATTTCAATCACGGTACAGATCAATGACAGTTATGCTCATGCAAGAGAACCTCTTGGTGACTGAACTGATTGAATTCAATGAAATTTCAGTGGGGATATCGGAAACATATCGAAATGCGCATGGGACCACATCCGTCTGAAATGATCAAAGAAATAGAAGAAAATAATCAACGGACGATCGATGGGAGGTTCCAAAAAGACTTTTGAACGCTGAATTCGACGATTTCAATTTTGTTTTGTCTACCTTATGATGATATTCTATCACTAATAAATGATTGAAATTTTCATCTTAATCAATTGATTTTTGCTGCCTTCAGATGAATTCATCGTATAATCAACGTTGTTCAGTTTCGAATTTAAGCACTGCCTCTACTTTTCTAAAGCTCATTATTTTGAATTTTAGATGGCGTTTTTACCCAACTGATTATTTGAGCGATTCTCATTCATCTACTGCTTTTGTTTCAAAAAAGCTCCTCATAGATGACATGGAAGTTCGTTTTATTGCTACCTATCCATCACTTTCGACAAAGATCCCCTCTCACAATTGACGGAAATGCACGATCGTATACCAAGAAAGGAATTTGTCAAAGGATTTTATTGAACGAAATCCGAGATGAAACAAAACAATCAACATAGATGAGAATGAAATTGAATAAATATGAACGACCGAACAGACAACAACAACAAGGAGGATGATAATTTGATGAGACCAAACTGGTTATCAATCAAATAGAACAGTATAACAAAACAGATGGAATAAAAACAATTTCATCAAATTCAATTCAATATTACTCTTACAAATGCATTTGCATCTTGAGGAAGACTTTCCACATCAGAAATTATTCCGCATAAATAAGCAAATACACGAATTGCGAAGATTTGTGAGTGTGATCGCCTCAAGAAAAACGAATGAACAAATTAATGAACAACATTGGGGGAAACTGAAAGAAAAACAAAAAAAAANAAAAAAAAATTAATATACTAAATAAATTCCGAACGACATCAAATAGTCGATAACGCTACCTTACTAATTGGGTTATATATATTGCCGAAAAGAGCAAAATTGATAATAACAAAAAAAAACATGAAAAAGAACGAATACAATAAAGATATACAATTTTAAAGTTGTTTTCGAAAGTCAATTTTCAACCGAAATTTTCTAACGCTACTTAAAAAGAATACATAAATTCAATAGCGCCAATCGTCATCAACAGAACAAGTCAGATCCCCATGACTTTAAATCCAAATGATTTTAGTACTGTTCGTAACGAAACCGTGATCGCAAAAGTGATAGAAGGGAAAAGGTGATTAAAAACCACCAAACGAAATATTTTAATGCTCCACTTGAATGATAACTGATTAATCAATCAGTTTATGTGAATCCAACCACTCCAAAAACCACACATCCGTTTGCACGAAATATCTACTCACCTCTCCTCAGGTATTCATCCAACCCCTTCAACAGACAATAAAATGAATCAAAAATAAAGTTAAGATCGACTTCTTCTGCGTCGCGGACTACGAGAACGATTGAAGCGATTCGCACCCAACGGTGCCATGTTAGCACCAGATGCACGAGCGTAACGTGGCGGACTTCGGTAACGACGAGGCGATGCACCACGATATCTGAATAATATTTACTTGTTGATGAGGTATAACTGGAAATTGTTTATTTATTTGTTGATGATACTAATAATGGACATTGAGTGATGTGGAAAATGATGGTGCTAAGTAAGAACCGATCGTCAGCAGATGCTTGATGCTAAAAGAGCACTTAAATCGAATAACAATAACCTTCAGCATTTCTTTCGGATCACCTTATACAATAACATCGCTGAATCCATGCTCACAATTTAACGGCATCTGCCTATTGTTGTTGCTATGAAGTGTGACAACAGCCAACGGAAGTTTACTTGCTTAATTTATGAGAAGATCAAATGAAAGAAACACACCTCATTGGTGATGCACCCCTCCTGCCTCCGTTACTGATCGCCGTTCGTGGTTGATGAGTCAGCTCGCAAGTGATTTCCTGTCCGTCGATCTGACCACCGTCCATATGCTTCAAAGCTTTGTCCGCATCTTCTGCCGATTCAAATTCAACATATCCATAACCTTTAATAGGAGAACCGTCATGTTACACAAAAATGATTGCAGAATATAACTTGCGTCTCTGAAGTAAACATTGGACTGCCTGACTGACTTATTATTGGAAAATAAATGAACTGACCGATAAATTTGCTGTCAGTGAATGAACAAACGAAGTGAATAAATAACACATAAAGATGTAATTAGTGTGACAGAAATAATCAATTTATTGTGGATTATATTAGAGAGTATGCAATTAGATATACGCATTTCCTAGTTATTAACTCAAAAGCGATAAAGTAAGGAAATAAACGGGAAGCAGGCACAGAAACCTCTTCCCAGATGCGTGTGTTGACGATCCATCGGCATATCACAATTCTTAAGTGTGCCATAAACACTGAATATCTCGGCTAGATGCTCTTTCGTAACGTTACGACTCAAATTACGAACGCACAAACGTCGAGGTGGAGGGGTTGCTTTACGCGCTGGTGATGATGCCTGTAATTATTGAAGTTGGTAATGGAGTTATGAACTTTGACATGAACGATTCATTGCTGACCTTACGATCCTTGGAACGCGATCGATCACGACGAGTGCGTTCTCGACTCGTACTTCTGGCAGAACGTCGTTTTTGGGAAGGTGATGAGTGACGTTTTGGCGACGGCGAATTGCGTCGTCGTTTCGGTGATGAGACTGCTGGCGAGCGACGACGTTTCGGTGAGAGCTCACGTTCACGTGAACCAGCAGTGGCACGTCTTCTTGGGGAACGTCTTGGTGAGGAGGTTGGTGAGGTGGCACCGCCACGAGATCTACGAGGTGGAGAGGGCGAGAGACGTCTTCTTGGAGAGGATGGCGATCGACGACGTTGGCGCTGACGCGGTGGGGTCACTGAACGACGCGATGATGCTATTGTGACCTTCTCACCCCGATCTGCACGAGCTACACCACGAGGCGAACGCGATGAACGACGTGCTCCGCCTGCTGGACTGCGACCGCGTTCTGCAATGACCATCATCGCTATGCTTGACGTGGTCCACATTACGAGAAATTTTCATTTTCCTTGCTAGTTTTCAGATAGTGTTCATGGAAGACGCGAAGCAATTATCAAACCAATTAGAACAGTTCACGCTGCGCATGCTTTATGGTGTAATAAACAGAAAAACATTTCACACTAGGAGGGTTGAGATGCTATTAACATTGGTTTATTTTGTAGCTGGCACTTAACATCAGCTGAATATCAAAAGTCATGCTAGGGAAGGAATTTTATCCATCCTCGTTAAGTTTTTATCTCCAGTGTACATCTAAAAAACGCACAAAAAACGTTCGTTTACGTAAAAATAACAAAAAGGGAACCTTTATTTGATGACTTTTTTGGTGACGGTGAAACAGATTCAGATGATTCACTGCTACTTGAGGTTCCCGAACCGGACGAAGATGTCGATCCACTTGAAGATGAGTCCGATGATCCTGTAGAGCTAGCAGATGACGACTCACTCGACGTTGATTCTTGACGTTTACGTGACGCCTTCTCTTTCACATCCTTCTCAACGCTTTTCTCGTCAACCATATTCATGAAGAATTACCCACTGCAACTGAAACTGAGAAATGTATTCCTCAACCTCCAAGCAAACGCAACTCATATCTCGAAAATGTAGATATTTTGGCATAGAAATGTCACATTAGGGCAAAACTGAATAATTAAGAGCAATGAACGAGATCAGTGAACATTCAAATGCGATTTGATAGCAATTAATCGATATCGATAATGACCAAAGGCATTAACCATAAATCACTCCATACTAACAACAGCAGCTCTCAGCAAATATAAAACCGAAATGTTCACCCATAAAAAAACAACCGAAGATAAATAAAATCCTCCAAAAAAAACAAAGACGCCATCAATGCAAGTTGAACGAAAATCGCTCATAAGATTTTTGGAATAATATCAAAATTTTTAAATCGTACTTTCGTTTCGAGAATCAAAACGTCTATTGCAGCATAAAACTTCACAGTTCATGACAGATTAGCCGGCCAATTGACGGCGAGAAACACTTATCGTTCGAACTCGACTAAAATTGCCGAGGTTGACCGTTTATCGGTTTTTCTGGGATCGTGAAATTGCATCGACGTTATTTTCCAACACTGAAGAAACAATCAATCAAATGTTGACAAGGAAAACTGTGGATATTGAGTGGATAAGAGTATTCATTCAAACTACGTGAATATTCATTCAAGAATTGCTTTCAAATCAGTAACGAGCTCTGTGTTCTGGCCGTAAACCTATTGGTCTGTAATTGATGCACCTAAGGATCCATGTTGAAATAAATACTACGAGTACCAAAATACAGAAGCATATTCTGACTGAGTCATTCAAAAGTCAGCGTCCTTCTGATGGAGGTTTTTTCAGTAATCAGAACAGTATCTGAAATGATCATGAAAAGTTTTTCATAAAGTTTGCATGACAAAAGGGCGATCACAATGATACAATGCTAAACAGTGAGTTGTTTGATGCTTCACAATATTTATTGCATATCAAGAAAGCGACATGATCAATTGATGTACAATCTCGGAGTATTAATTGCTTTACTTTATGCAACATAGGCAGATTATTCGAAATGTGCAAAGACAATTTGAATTTTGATTAAAAGTGGCGATAAGAATGAGGTTAGTTTTTTTTGACTTTTAGAAATAAATTGAACAAAAAATGCAACAAACAACAAAGTGACATTGGAACGTTGAGGAAAATAAGTTGAGAATACAAATTTCTAAAAAATGAAACGTGCGACGGTTGTTCCAAGAGAACATTGATGAAATGAATAAATGACTCAAATTTAAAACTCACAACATAAAACTTTTTCTTTGGAAAGACAATGCAAATCAGAGACCGCAGTCAATGACAACGTACCAGAATCATGTAAATCTTGTTGACAAACAACAATTTATGTGCAAACTCGAATTATGCGAACGAATGGAAGGAAACAAGAAACTATTGCGATGGCACGATATGTTGTGCTTCAGGATGACTGTTTTTCCGTTCTCGTCATCGCTTGTTCTGACGATTGATTGAAAGATGATATAGTGATGATAACAGCACTGATGAACGCTGCAACTAACGAGCAGAAGACTATCACTGGTAATAGCACCGCGATTCCGAACAACGTCATTATCACTGAAATTATCCACTGACATTATCTGAAAATATTTTGGTTCTTTCCGTTTTAGTTTTTTTTTGTCTGTAACGGTAGATTAGAGTCGTAACTGGTCATCATCAACACATATTATTACCATAACTTTTGAATATTTTCAATATTTTCATACTTTTTTGCAAGTTCTCATCACATGTTTGAGGTTGCTTTCAATTACGTAAGGTTGATTTTTTTGAAACATTATTTTTAGCGAAGAAGTGGAGAATATTTGAAATATTCGCATACAGTTCAGAGATAGCCATAGTGTTTGGCAAGTTTGCTTCAGAGAACGTTTTATATTCACTGGATAAGTGAACACTTTAAAGAAGCTGATTTAGGCGACAAGCAAACATGAAACGCGAAACAGATTCGAGAAACTACCGCAATATTGCATTAAAAATGGAATGAAACTCGAAAACGATATAAAAAAGATTGGAAATTTGAGTACATTCAGCGAAGAGTGCTGAGCCGAATACAACGATTCCCGACAATAGAAGATAGAGAATAAATGCGACCATCGGGAGTGCATTGCAAACCAACAACATCTTCACAAAGAACGCAACTTTCCCATCAGAGTTTAGATTTGCGATCGTAAAATCCATTTCGACTGTTCGTGCACTATTGTTGGTATCGGGCGCCACACGCCCATGCACTTAGCTAACCACTTCGCTGCTGGTCTACAACATATGACCAAGTGAAAACTGTCAGCACGACGTTTGTCCTATGTAGCCTCAGCCTCAGTCTGAGCGTGAGGCTGAGGCCACGCTCAAGTTAAGGCTAAGCGTCGGCCATAGTGCTGTTGTACTGCTGCACGCTCGCTGTTTTGCCCTCAAACGACACCAGTACCATAAAATAGTGATAAACATTCTCGA